AAAAAAAAAGAAGACTCAGAAGGAAACCACAAGGAAATAGGAAGAAAAAAATCGAAGATCATGTGATTACAGAAGCAAAGAAAGGCAGTGATTCAATAAGGAGAGACATTTAGCAGTGTCAAATATATTTTAGCTCAAATTGGAGGAGAACTAACACATGTCTGTTAAATTTAACAACACATCAGTTAATGACTGTGTTAGGCTAGTTTTCCAGAACAGACTGAGGCAAGGATTCATACACATGTGACTTATTATGAATGTGCTTCCAGAAGAAACCACCAGAGTGGCCAGTGAAGAACAGGGAAGGGAATCCAAGCCAATCTACCATACAATTTCAGGCAAAGTCTTGTGAAAGGTAATTTTAGCTGATCCTGCTGCAAAGGAATTCTGAAGGTTAAGTTATGTTTAGGTTTTCACTAAATCAATGTGAAAGAAGTGGGCTTTCACACCCACAACACTCACTCATTTAAGGGCCATCAAGCACTTTTTGGTACTCCATGCTTAAAAGCAAAGGGCTCTGGAGGCGGCACCTGTGGCTCAGTGAGTAGGGCACCAGCCCCATATACTGAGGGTGGCGGGTTCCAACCTGGCCCCAGCCAAACTGCAACAAGAAAATAGTCAGGGGTTGTGGAAGGCTCCTGTAGTCCCAGCTACTCAGGAGGCTAAGGCAAGAGAATTGCCTAAGCCCAGGAGTTGGAGGTTGCTGTGAGCTATGATGTCACAGCACTCTACTGAGGGCAATAAAGTAAAACACTGTCTCTAAAAAAAAGGAAGCCAGCTATCAGTTGGGGTGGCACCTGTGGCTCAAAAGGGTAGGTCCCTTTTGTTTGTGTCCCTCCCATATGCTGGAGGTGGCAGTTCAAACCCGGCCCTGGCCCAAAATGGCAAAATAATAAAAAAAAAAAAAAAAGCAAAGGGCTCTGGGTAGCGCCCAGCATAGGGGCCCCATATGCTGGAGGTGGCGGGTTCAAACCCAGCACCAGCCAAAATACAAAAAAAAAAATGTGTTCTAACAGCCACAAGGCAGATCTCCAGAAAGAATCTTGTGTGGTCCATCAGATGTAAAAGCACACAGAGCAGGGCAAGGGGCAAGAGAAAAGTGAAAGGGATCCAAGAGGACCTGGACAGAGAACTTAACAATATCTATTATAGTGACCTTTTAAAAAAATTATCAAAAAAAAAAAAAAAAAAAACATCTTTAGAGAACAAGTTCTAGGTATGTTGCCCAGGCTGGACATAAGCACCTTGGCTAACATGACCCCAGCCCTCTGAGCAGCTGGGACTGCGGCATTTGCCACTGTGCCTGGCATGGCCACAGTGACCTTGACAAAAGCAGCCTCAGTGCAGGTGGGCACAGAAACCAGACTGCAGTAGCCTGAGATGCAGTGATGAAGAGACACTGGTGAGGGCAGAAAATCTGTTCTTCAACAAGGTTAGGGATAGGAGAAGAGAGATAAGGTGAAAAACCTCTTGGATTGAGAAGAACTAACACATGTCCATTAAATTTAACCCATCAGTTAACGACTGTGTGAGGCTGGATTTTCCAGAGCAGGCCCTGAGACAAGGATTCATAGTTGGAAAGATGAAAAGATGGAAAAGATGAAAATCCAAGAGGTTTTTACAAAGAGAGAACAGACAACAGGAAGTTCAAATCTTCATGGAAGGAGCCCATGGAGAGGAAGATAATGAAGATACAGTAGATAAGATGTACAAGGATGGGGTCCAGAGCACAGGTGGAGGAATCAGCTACACACAGGAGCAGGAATGCAGTTCCAGGATAAACAAAAGGAGAAAAAAAATCAAGTTTACAAAGATGGCAGTAGTTGGAGCTTGACTAACATTACATGATTAAATGACTTTTCATATTCCTGGCACTTTTATAGGACACTAAATGCCAGCCAGGCATAGGTCGGCCAGCAAGGTGTTGCTGTGAACAACAATAAAAGGGTAACCAGATAAAATGACCTCTTTCTACCTTTCCCAATGCCTTCCTAAATACACAGGAATAAATAGAAAAAATTACATATATATGTATATGTGTGTGTACATGTGGGATACACATATCCCACAACATTGGAAATTGAGAGTCACTATCAATGTAATACCAGAATGTTTAAGGAATTACAATAATTAAAAGGTGTTTGTAATTGGACTGAGGAAACCTGGTCAGGCTGGAAGTGACTTAAAGATGTTTGTGTCCCACTTCAGTTTAGACTACCAGAACCCAAGGTGGGATAGTCAGGGAAGGGGAGGTGTGGAAGACAGAGCAAGCTGTTAGCCACCAATAATTAGACCACAGCAATACACACAAACTATCCTTCCACTTACAGACTTAACAAATTGCACCACCAAGCCAGTGAACAAGTAGCCAGGTTCCAAGGGCAACTTTCTTATCCCACGTTATGAACTGAATTGTGTCGTAACTCCGGGTACCAGGGAATGTGATCTTATTTGGAAACTGGGATTTTGCAGATGTACTCAAGTTAAGATGAAGTTATTGGGGTAGGTCTTAATCCAATACATCTGATGTCCTTATAAGAACACAATAAGAAGACACACAGGGAGAACACCAAAGGACAACAGAGGCAGAGACTGGAGTGACAGGCCTGCAAGCTGAGGTGTGCCATGGGCTGACAGCCACAGCAGAAGCTAGGAAGGGGCAAAGAGGATTTCCCCCTGTAGGTTTCAAGTGTTCATGGCCTACAGACACCTGTAGGTGTCTGGAATTTCAGCTTCCAGCTTCCAAAACCGAGACAAAAATGTTCTGTTGTTTTAAACCATGGAGTATGTAGCACTTTTTTAAAGCAGCCCTGGGAAACTAGTGTACTCCATTTGTTGATAAATACCTAGTCTGGGCAAAACTTCCTTTCTTTGAACATCACCATGAAAAATTTTTAAAAAACCCACAGGAGAAATAGAAAGGAACACCATCCAGAAAACCAAAAAATGCCTCTGAAATGATTTACGACACAATTAAGCAGCAAATTTCAGGAAAATAGCATGCATACAAAAATACAGAATTTACGCCCTCATCATCTGCCTTTCAGAAAAATGAAAACAGTAACTAAAACAATTGTATTTTTAAAATAATTTTGTATTTATAAAATTAGATGATGCTCATTTACCTGACTGAAGTCCAAAAAAAAGTTCCTCATCTTGAAGTAGTTCTTGAACACAATCTAACCTCATGTTAATGGTCTCAATATCAATTAGAGGCTCTAATATATTAGAACGAAGTCTTCTGCTCCCTCCAGGAGTCTTAGTATAATTTAGAACACCAAAGAGAGTGTGATTATTCCTGTGCAAACAAAACACAAGTTAGGAAATTAAGCATACAAAGGAAAATCCAAGAAATTGCATTTTATCTTTGTAATTAAATAATCCTATAATCTACAACAATGATTCTCAAATTTGTATAAATATTACAAGGGATTCTAATTCAGCAGGTCTGCGATGAGACATGAGAATTCGTATTTTGGACAAATTCCACATGCTGTCAGTCAATGAACCACTTTGACTAACAAGGATGGACAGCGTCCCCTTGCACTCAGTTACTACCTTTTTTCTACAGGTCAGTTACAACACTTAAACTAAAACAAAATTTTCTAGTCTATGATGTTCCATCAATAATAGCAAGATATCAATAATATATTCTAAAGGAGTAAAACTTTTATATTGATAAATATGAGTATTTAATATAATCATCTTATACTAATTTAAGAAGTTAGAGAAGAATGACAAGTAAAAGAGAATTTTGTAATTTCTAAGTGGTTACTATAAAGAAATGAGCCATTATAAATTCATTTCATTGGCTCAGCACCCATAGCACAGTGGTTACAGTGCAGACCACATGCACCGAGGCTGGTGGGTTCCAACCAACCCCGGGCCTGTTAAACAACAATGACAACTGCAACAAAATAGCCGGGTGTTCTGGCAGGTGCCTGTAGTCTCAGCTACTTGGGAGGTTGAGGCAAAAGAATCGCTTAAGCCCAAGAGTTGGAGGTTGCTGTGAGCTATGACCCCACGGCACTCTACCTAGGGCAACGTGGTGAAACTCTGTCTCAAAAAAAAGTGTTTATTTAACATTATATTTCTCCATCATTAGCCAGGTTTTGTGGTGTGTGCCCACAGTTCTACCTACTCTGGAGGCAGAGGCCAGAGGCTTACCTGAGCCCAGGAGTTCAAGACCAGTCTGGGCAACATAACAAAACCCTCTATCTCTTAAAAAAAAAAAAAAAGATATATATATATATATTCTCAAACAATTTGAAAAATATATTACATATATTCTCAAGCAATTTAAAAAACTTTAAAGTATTTATAGAAAAATATGACATAAAATATACCAATACATTTTGTAAGTAAAATTTAGAGGCTCTTACCGACAGTCTTGATTATTAATTAACAATTCAAGGTTTTGGGCTGATGATGAATCTATCATGGCTGTCTGTTCACTACCCTGGAAACAAATCTTCAGTGATTTTGGGGCATAAACTGAATTTTGAATAAATTCAACATATTTTAACAAAGCCGCAACAGCTGCAAGGCAGTAATACCTGTAAAGTGACCAATGACACATCAGTGCAAGTCATTAGAATAAAAAAAATTACTACTATAAAAGGAAATATTTATTTCACCTTAATGTAAGGATTATTATAAATATTTACATAGCATTAAACTCAAAGGGAAAAGGTCCGCCAAGTGTTCCTTACTTTGAAACTAGGTAAATCACCTCTAAATCATAAAAATTAATATAAACAGACTTTTTTTTACAATCTAATACTTATGGATCTTAGACTCCAAATCCCATGTTAGAAAACAACATTCAAAGGTGATTTGTGTCAAATTTTTATGTACCATTCTAAATACTGAAATAATATTTGAAGAGTCA